GGGGGATAGGAAGGGCAGCACAATACAATAGACACTAGTATGGCCCTATGTATAAACGTGGCTGTATAACCAATGTGATCCTGCAATCTGTACACGTGGAAAAATAAGATTAAGATTACGTACCCCATTTGAATCAAATGTATGATATGTCAAGATCATTGTAATGTTTTGAGCAACTAATAAAAAAATTAAAAAAAAAAAACATATCTTTCTCCGTATTTGGACTAGTATTTCTATGAGATTTCTTGACACAGACTTGCTGGTCACAGGGAATTCACTTCAATTTTTTTAATAGGTATTAGTTATTGTCTTGTAAAAAGGCTGAATCCATTTATACTTACTTATTCCTTTCACTTATTCCTCCTCACCAGAACTGGTCATTAGTACCTGTGCTAGACCTACTGTTTTCAGCCCCAGGGCTATGGAACATTAGTGCTTAGAGTCTGCACAAAGTACTTCCTAGGCTTCCTTGCAAACTAAGCTGCCCATGGGAGGTACTAGTAGAAGCCTGAAAGGTGTAGGGAGGAGGATGAGAGTGGATACTCTTGACTACCTGCTCTTGACCTCCCTCCAACAGCAGCACACAACTAGCTACTGTTCCAGGACCTCCTGGTGCTCCCTACACCATCCCGGCAGGGTGCCCTCAGGCATGTCAGGAGCCCTGGCAGCTCCCTAGTGGCTGCTTCTCCAAATCCTAGATGATAGTCTACCTTTTCATTTTTGTCTCTCTGGTCCTGGGGTAGACTGCTTCACACATTTTCTAATTTGTGGGTGACTTCAACATTCCCTTTATGCTCTTTCAACATTTAAGTAACCAATTACCTATAATAATTTAAATCCCCTGAGACTTATGTTTTCTTGACTGGACTTTGACTGATAGAGAAATATTTGAAATCTAATCAGTGGATAATTATACCTTGTTTATATTTGAATTTCTTTAATTATTGTGGCAAATTACTTTGGCACATTTATTAGTCATCTGTACTTGTTCCATGAACTTTACTCCTATTTCTCCTGAGTTGTTCGTTTATCATCCACCCTTTCTGTTTCATGAAGTACTTCCCCTAGTCTGTCATTTGACTTTTCACTTTGTTCATGGTATTTTTGATCAAATAGAAATATTCTACCAATTTTTTCCTTTAATGCCTCTACATTTCATGTATTTAGAGAACTTCCCTTACTTAGAATTAGAAAAATAAAGACTGGGATCCAAATTAGAATAAGATATATTCCAAGTTTGCATAAATAGTCTCTAGTGTCATGTATAACTAAAAAGAACAAATTAAAATTAAAATTTAAAAAAAAAGATTAGAAAAATAAAGACCTTCATTTTTCAAGCCCTTAGGAGTTTTCTTTACATTTAAATTCTTCATATATTTGGAGCCTCTAACGCAATTTACATATACATAGGGACTGGGGCTATTTATAAAGCAAAGCACAACTGCATATATAGCTGGCTACAAAGATAGTTTCTGAATTAAAGCTATTTATTATATAAAATGTGAATTTATATTTAAAAACATAAATATTATTACAGAAGCTAAAGCATGTGAACAGCTACACTGTTGCAATGTGTTACATTGCATGTGAATAGCTACACTGTTGTTAAAATACAAAAATAACTTTCAAAAGTCTGCACCAAAACTTGAAATGATGTACTAGTATCCAGCTGAATAAGACTAAGGAAGAAATGAAAACCCTCAAGGGAAAAAAAGTTACCAAACACACAAGATTTTGAAATTGGGACTGGAACCAAACCAGAACTTCCTTGATTAAGGTGAGGGTCTCAGTAAGGAAATAAAAATGAATCCATGAAGTGCCACTGAACAACTAGTCTGGAAACTAAATATTAACACACTGTAAATTGTTCCTTTATATTCTTCTAAAGACTGGAGAAATGATAAATACCATAAAGAAAATTTTAAGATAAACTAGTGAGTTACATATGTTTAGCAAGAACATCTTATATGTCAATATACAACTTGTGTTTTTTAACTCCCAGCTGTCAATACAGTATGCTTTCAGACTCTTTCACAGCTTGGGCTGAGTCTCAGCCCTCATGATGGTTTCTCCCCGCTCAGTGTTGTTTGGGCATCCACTCAGAATGCTGAGAGTTTGAAAATCTCAACAGCAATTAATATACTACACCTGGTACAAAGTCAATGTTTAATACACACATTTCTGAATGAATAACATTTCTAGAAAAACCTCTCCTAAGAGAAGGAAGTGAGGCCGCTAAATCTCTAAAAAGACTTCTGGCACACCTTGAAGTCTGAATAAAAACCCACATACTTTTATTATATCACAGCAAGAGAGGCACAGTGATCTGCTGTAGAAAAAATAAATAAATCATAGCCTGGAAATCAGTCAGACCTGACTGGTTGATGCTCTTACAAGCAGAATCATCCCATAAACATCATTTGACTGCTAAGCCCCGTTTTCTACATCTGTGAAACAGAAATGCCAACTACCCCTTCCTTGAGAGGTAGAGATGATACATGCAAAAACCTAGCATAGTGCCTGGGACAGGATATTATTGTCCATCATCATCCTTGGAGATTTCACAAACTATGGAAATATTGTGGAAAATATAAAGCAAATTACTGAAAAGCGGTATATTTGCAATATCAGAGGCAAGAGGAAACAGGGAAAGAGATTCTGATTAAAAACAAAACAAAACAAAACAAAAACTAGGACATCTCTATGTTGTCATCTTTTTAAGCTCAATGAACAATGAATGTGCCCAAGGCTTGAGTGCTTCCTGCCTTTTCCCTGGACAACTTCATTCCAAATCTTTACCATCCAAATAAATAAAATAAAAACTAAAGCATAAACATTAGCTTAACTGCAAACACAAATCATCTCACAACCCAGCACTGACTATGGCTCAACTGTGGTTACATATTAAGTGATGATAAAACACGTTATCTCATTCTTTGTCAGGTTACCTAATCTATTCTTTTTCTGCCCTCTCCTCTCTTAGATGCTGGACTTCCTTGAGAGTGTGTCTAATTTTCTTAATTCTCTCCTCTTACCTCTTTACCTTTGTCCTACCTTTAGATTTTTTTAATTTTTCACGTGAGTTTTGCATTGTCTCATGTCTCTTTTCCTATTTGATAATTCTCCTTAAATATTAAATAATTCTGGGCTGTCTGTCTATTCATGTTTTAAAAAGAGGTGTTAAAAAGACTGACTAGAACCCAACTACTATGTATAACTTTAAAGGTATCTAAAAATAATAATAATAATATGGGCAGAATTTTTTGGGGAAAAAAACCCCGTGTGAACTCTCTTGGATTATGTGGCTGCTGACTCTTCTAAGAAAATTTCCAGGTCTAGAGTCAGGGTCGGGAAGGACCCAAAATGGTTAGCTCTTTATGGGCCTCTTCCTCTAAGCTGCCTAGGTACCTGTTATTCCTCCATCTTCCTTCTATCTTTATACAGTGAGGTTCACACATGTCTATTAGAGGTCTGAGTGTTTCTTGTCCTCACTGTTCTGGAGCAATTTGTGAGATTAGGTTGCAACTTGAAATGGAAATTGTGGTTCATTTTAGAAGCCAGTGTCTGTCTCTCTCTCTCTCTCTCAAAGTAAGCATTTTATGACTCATTTCTCTACTGCAATAGAGAGACCAGTAAGTGATTAATCTTAATCTTTGATTCCAAATAAATCATCTATTTTAAATATCCCAAAATTATGAATGTCAAATTTATTACTTTACACTATTTCTTCAAACTCTAAGTTTGAAATTTTACAAATAAAGATTTGTCAAAAAGTATATTCATTAAATATTCTAAAATACAAAATTCTTACTTGACTTGCCCCAATAGCCATCATTTGTAAGGCTCCTAAGCATGTTCTTATTTAATAACCAATAGTATAATTTGTAGTAAATACGTTATTTTTTTTTAGGGGGGTGACTGGGGACTAAACCACTAAGCCACATCCCCAGCCCTATTTGTATTTTATTTAGAAACATAGTCTCACTGATTTGATTAGGGCCTCACCTTTTGCTGAAATTGGCTTTGCACTTGCAATCCTCCTGCCTCAGCCTACTGAGCTGCTGGGATTATAGGTCTGCACCACCATGCAATAGCTTCATAGCTACTTTTCCAACTGCTGTATTCCATCCTGCTCCTATCATATTTTCTTATTGGATATATGATTACCATCAGATGCTTTTCCTAATTTATGGCCTGCCAAAGAAAGTTGCCCTTTGCAAGTAAGAGAGAGCAAAGAATTGTAACATTAACTCTGCCTCCCAAAGTAACTTTTTTTAAAACAATGTAAATAGTCTCTCTTTATGTCAGCTGGCCATTCCTAATTTCTGTCTCTCCCACTACTAGTGTCCACTAGGATATTCTCTGAGAGAATATTACTTCTCCCAGCTTCAACCATCTCCCTCTCCAGTTCTCCATTCATGGTTGGTTGGTTGGTTTTTTGGTGGTGCTTACCCCTAAACCTTCTCCATTCTTAATCTTCCAGTTTTAGCCAGTTATCAGTTATTGCCACCAGAAGATTTCCACTTGAAAGTTCCCCCACCCCTTCAACCTACTACCAAACATTCTGCCTTGTCGCATCAGCTCTCCTCAATTCCTTTTTTTTGGGGGGGGGTACTAGGAATTAAACTCAGGGGCACTCAACCACTAAGCCACATCCCCAGCCCTATTTTCAATTTTATTTAGAGACAGAGTCTCACTGAGTTGCTTAGCTTCTTGTGGTTGCTGAGGTTGGCTTTGCTTGTGATCCTCCTGTCTCAGCCTCCCAAGTTGCTGGGACTACAGTCGTGCGCCACAATGCCTGGCTCCCTCATTTCTTAACATAAACTTCCTTGCTAATTCTCTCTTCCCTTCAGATCCCGTACATCCAGCATCCAAGTTTTGGGGACTTCAAATGTTTTTCCAACCTTCCTCTTTTTCCCATTGGTACCATGGTAATTCAGGCCCTTAAGTACAGCAATTTAAATGCGACTGAACCAATATGCATCAAGGCTCTCCCAAACCAAGCTACTTCACCTATGGGTTGCTTCCATCTTTCTCTTCCTTTTATCCTTTTTTTAAAAATCTTATTATTTAAAAAAATATTTTTCTTTAGTTGTACATGGACACAATGACTTTATTTTATTTATTTATATGTGGTCACTTGTCAACCCACCCCATGCAGACTTATGCCTGCCTTTTTACTCTAGCCTCTCACGACTGTCCCCAGCTTCACCAAGTGCTCAGCCCCCACACACCATATTCTACCTGGCACACCTCTGCCCATGTGATCCTCCTACCTTTCTCCCCAATGTAAAGGATGATCAGGAGTTTACTTGGCCTCAAACTCAGCACTTCATCCAGTGTGGTTCCCCTGTCTCCTGAGGTCCCCTATGAAGGTGTGGAGCTCTTTCTTGGTTCTTCCTTTAATAGACTATACCCCCCTTTATGTATTTTGATAAATGTAATGATAATAACCTAACATTGTGTCTGTATGTGAGACAACCAGCCTCTGAGAGCCTTAGAGGCAGCAACTGCTCCTGTTTACCTCATCATCCCAATGTAAGCACAGTGTCTGCCACAAACGAGGTAGTCACCAAATATCTGCTCAACAAGGCAATCTAATAACCTCAACTACTCCTGCCTCCAAACGATAAATTTCTCCTGACTGACAAACTCAAGACCAAATCTTTTTCATTATTTACGTGTTTAATAATATAAAATAATACTAGGTATAAAGTTAAAAATTACCTAAAATCTCACTGAAGGTGAAAATTATAAACGTCAAGATAATAGTAACACATGGGTGCAGGGAGGAGGCTGTGACTAGGATAGGGCACAGAAAGAAGCTTTGGGTTTGGGGACTGGGACAAAGTTTTATTGACTTACCTGGATGGTGACTGCAAGGAAATTTGTCTTAAAATAACTCTTTAAGCCACAGGTTTATACTCTCTGTGTTTTCTGTGACTGTTTTCTTTTACTCTGATGGAATTAATTATATCAATCTAATTTAAAGTAATTAACATAAAATATGGCTACTTACCAAAACAGAACTCAGCCTTTGGCCTTAGCTTAGTTGCATCACTAACCTAACAAGAAAAAGAGAGATGCGTTATTCAATTCTTCAACACTACTCTAACCAAACTCAAATATCATATAAACTCTCACATGTATACTTTCCCAACAATGATGAACACTTAAAATATAAATCTGAAATTAAACTTCAAAGGCAACTGAAAAACAGCAGCAAATTAAGTATAGAATCTGAGTTTCACATGTAATGTTTAAACAAATGGTACTTCCATGTTTTTTTTGAAAAATCTTGTTTTTTTCTCTGAAGGAAATATGAAGAAGTTGAAAGTAAAACAGTAGGCTTTGTCACACACATAAATATTTTTCATTTAACATCATCTTTAAAACTCCCTCAATGAATAATCTATAAGCTCTGAATTGTTCTCAAATGTCATGTTTCAAAATCAGCTGTGAACTCTAAGTGAAATGGGGGTGGGCAAGGGGAAGACTGTGTATTTGAAGTCCCCAAATCCAGAAGGCATTAATATGCTATGAGAAATTAACAAGGTACTTAATCTCCACTTTTACAGGAGAATAGAGGGTAATGGGGCTACTTACTTAAATGTAGCACAAAGTTCCTTTTAGAAAGTGAAGCAACTAGCTACACCTGGTTGCTGCTATCCCCAAATAAGAGGCTCTTAGAATCCCATGCATGGCTATTGCTATGCTGTTGCCGAGAGGAAGAACTCATAATTGTGGCATCTATTTTGTACCTTCAAAAGGAATTTGATCCCAACTACAAATTCACAGGTGCGTCACACTGAACTTTGTTCCGGGAATAAATTCTGGGTAAATAAGTTGAAATGTCTAAACTAAAGTACAAACTGTAAATCTCAAACTTCAGTAAGCTGTAGGACAGACAGAAAGTCAGAACTGCACAGAGAAGAGGTTGTTGTTACTGTTGTTGTTGTTATTATTAATATTATTATTATTTTAGTACCAGGGATTGAACTCAGGGGCACTCAACCACTGAGCCACATCCCTCTATTTTGTATGTTATTTAGACACAGGGTCTCATTGAGTTGCTCAGCACCTGACTTTTGCTGAGGCTGGCTTTGAACTTGTGATCCTTCTGCCTCAGCCTCTTTGTTGTCTGAGGGCTAATAAATATGTTTTGTCGGGGCTGGAGTTGTGGCTCAGTGGTAGAGCACTTGTCTGGCATGTGTGAGGCCCTGGGTCTGATCCTCAGCACCGAATATAAATGAATAAATAAATAGAATAAAAGATCCATTTACAATTAAAAAATATTTTTTAAGAAAAATGTTTTTTCAATGAGAATGAATAGCTTTATTGTAATACTGATGAAGTCTTTTATTTAAAAAAGTATCTGTCTTCTGAACAGAGGCCCATCTATAATCAATATTCTATTGAAATGATCCATCTTTGCCAATAATCACAGTATGTGTATCAGTGTACATTATTTAACAGCACTGTGTGATACCTTTCGCATCTCATACTTTACCAACAAACTTCTTATGGCTTTTGTGTAAAACAAAACAATCACATGACTAGCACCTCCATGTCTCTTTCTAAAACACTAATTAAAGAAAAGGAAAACAGCTATCTGATCAATATAAAATCTCAATTTTTGAAAATAACAGAAAAATAGTACTATAAGAGCACCAGAAAAACAAATAAAAAAGAAAACAGAAACTAGTAGAAACAAAGTAAAAAGAAGGAAAAAAAAAATCATCCTTTCAATGTGAAGATAGTCCACATTTTCCTCAAAATAAAACATAAACATAATGTCAAAAACAAAGGAGCTGGGGCCCCTACGGTCTCTGGTCGGAATCACAGGGACACTAAGCCTGCTACCTGGATATTTGCTGACCATGGTCTCCTGGTGGTACTTTTTCCTGTCTCAGGAATGCAACCTTCCTAGGACCAGGATATTGCAGGCAACGAGGATCTTTCATACCAGGCAGTCACATCTTGCCCCTCTACCACCTCTTCCTGGATATGGAGGAAAAGTTCGTCTTGGGCTGATCCCTGAGGAATTCTTCAAGTTTCTTTATCCTAAAACTGGAGTAACAGGACCCTCCATGCTTGGAACTGGGCTTATCTTCTATTTTATATCCAGAGAAATAGATGTGATTATTACCCCAGAGACCTTCTCTCCCATATCAATAGTGGGGTTACTCGTCTATGTAATTAAAAAATATGGTGCCTCTACTGGAAAATTTATTGATAATGAGCAAAAAATTGCCCAACTAGAAGAGGTGAAGAAGGCTTCCATCAAACATTTCCAGGAGAATTTTCCAATTGAATTGGAGAAGTCAAAGCAGGCACTGGATCAGAAGCACCACTATCTTTTTGATGTCCAAGGGAATAACATTGCTATGGCCTTGGAGGAGGTAAAGAACTGCCTGGATTATCATATCTCTGTGCAGAATATGATGCATCGAAAGGAACAGGAACACATGATAAATTGGGTGGAGAAGCTTGTGTACAGAGCATCTCTGCACAGTGGGAAAAGGAAGCGACTGCCAAGTGCATTACAGATCTCCAGCTGCTTGAAAGAAGGCTCAAGCAAAGCCGGTTATGTAAATGTATCTGTCCCAGTTGAGACAGCTAAACACAACTGACTGAGTAAATGAAAACTATTCT